TTCAGTGCAACTCCTCAGGATCACTCTATAGAGGGCTTCCTCAATTTGCTACTCTGAGGATGTGCCTTAGTGCTGTAGTACCCCAGTGCAGCTGGTTATACCACCAACTCTTAACCAGGTACAAAAAGCTGTCAAGCAGATGAAATCTGGAAAGGCACCTACAGGAGGTGTTGTGATCCCATTACAAAGCTGGCAGAGGCCAGCTGATGCGCTGTCTCACCTGTATAATTATTGCCATTTGGGAGAAAGAGCAAATTCCATAAGACTTCAGAGATGCCCTGATTGTCCATATATACAAGAGAAAAGATGGCCGTGCATGATGCGAAGACCACGAGGGTATCTCACTGCTATGTTTAGCTTGTAAGATCCTGGCTCACATTGTCTATAATTGGCTGTCGTTACATGTGTTCACAAATGGCATCATTCCTGCAAGTCAGTGTGGATTTCGTGCCAGTCAAAGCACTGCCAGAATGATATTCACAGCCAGGCAGATTCAAGAAAAATGTAGAGAGGAATATCAGGATCGCTACATGATTTTCATTGACCTGACCGAGGTGTTTGACACTGTCAACAGAAATGGGCTTTAGAAGGTACTTGAACAAATTGGCTGTCCTAAAAATATCATCAATTCAGTTTGGTCCTTTCATGATGGTAATCTGGGTCACGTCCTTAACAACAGAGAATCATCAGCATATTTTGAAGTATCAAATGGTACAAAGCAAGAATGTGTCCCTACTCCTCTCCTGTTCAGCTTCTACTTTTCAATGATGCTGTTAGTTGCTTTCAAGGATTACGAGTTGGGCCTATCCCGTCAGTTCTGAACAGATGGCAGCATTTTCAACTTCCAAAGATTTTAGGCTTATACTGAAGTGTTCACTACAACAATCTGTGACCTCTGATCTTTTCCATCCATGTGCAGATTTTCTCCATCCATGTGTAGAATACACGATTATGTGCACTGAGACATGTGCGAATGTCACCACCAGTAGAAAGAAAACCTAGCTGCCAGCACTCTGCAAATCAGCTGGGTGGTATTTGATTCTCTTCTGGGTGGCCGCACATGCACGCAGCTTACAGGGAGCACTGTCCACAACCTCCTGTTTGCTGATAACTGCACTGATGGCTCATGTGGTCAAAGATGCATAGAAGCTTTTTGATTTTTTTTGCTACCTCTGCTCATTATTTTTCACTCATTGTGAACCTCAAGAACACATAGGTTATACCTCAATCTGCTCAGAAAGAGCCCAGCACTCCCGTGATCAGTGTGGCTGCTACTGTCCTTCAGGCTGTGGATAGGTATTGCTATCGTGGAAACGTGTTTTCTTCCAGCATAAATGCTGATGATGAGGTAACTGCTTGACTAGCCATAGACTGACCAAACAATGGTCTGATCATGGTGTTAAACTTCATGCTAAGGTAGAAGTTTATCAGGTAGTTGTCCTGACGATCCTGCTGTGTTAGGCATCAGGCTACGTTTTGTTTGCTTAATTCCCAACATTCCTCATATTTGTCCAGAAGACTTATCTGTGTGATGTCCCTTAATTTTAGCCCAGAATGTTATATCCAACTGCCTTCTTGCTGACCCTCTAGGCACCTGCCCCTGTGTGGGGCAGGAGGAGACTTTGTGAGTTCCCCTCACCCCCAGGCGGGAGGAGCACGCAAAGTCTCTCACTCCCTGCCCTCACCGTGCAAGGGGCATGTGACTTTTAGCGTGAAAGTGCTGCGCCCCCCCTGCAGGGCAAGAGGAGAGTGTGCACTCCCCTGCCCCCTGCCAATCAGGGCCTGGTTGGCCTGGGGGTGGGGAAGAGGCAGTTGTCCATGGGCTGGATCCGGCCCGCGGAGACCCCTTTGCCCACCCCTGACTAAGAGTAAGCCCTGCAGACTGCAGTCATGCCAGCTTCCTGCCCTTGATATACAAGTTCCCTGTCCTGACTATGTAGGTAATGCCATCTATTTTATGCTCAGGAACTCAGTCATATGATTTAGCTTAGAATAGGAAATATTTTCTCTTGGTGAAGAATTTCCAAGCATGTAAATGTGTTTTATTTCCTCCCAAAACACTTTCAGGTATTTCTTGAAAACACAAAAAACTAGATTTTTTAAAATGAAAAAACCTTGTTGGAAAAACAAACTTCCTATGGTCTTTAATTTGTCCTGTCATGTGTCTGAGTGTGATGCTGCGTATGCTGCCTGTACCTCTGTGGCGCTTAGACTTCAGAGGCACCATGGCACACTTAGTTTACACTGGCCAGGCTACATCTAGACTGCATCCCTCTTTCAACAGAGGGATACAAATCAAACACATCGAAATTGCTAATGAAGCAGGGATTTAAATATCCTGTGCCTCATTAGCATAAACATGGCCGCCACTTTTTTTCAAAATGGAATTTTTTTGAAAAAAAACCCCAGTAGTCTAGACATGGATCTGTTGAAAATGAACCCTTTTTTTTGACCGATCCTGTATTCTTCAAACAACGAGGTTTACAGAATCTGTCAAAAAAGGGTTTATTTTCGACAGATACACATCTAGACTGCTGGGGTTTTTTCGAAAAAACTTCATTTTGAAAAAAAGTGGTGGCCATGTTTATGCTAATGAAGCATGGGATATTTAAATCCCTGCTACATTAGCAACTTTTGATGAGCCTAATCTGCATCTCTCTGTCGACAGAGAGGTGTAGTCTAGACACACCCTGGGTGAACAGGAGCAGAATTGATGCCCTGGGTCTCTATGGCACAGAGAGTTACAACATCAGAGCAGTCATAACATGGCATTTCACCATGATGAGCCTAGTACGGAAAATGATGGGCACTTATGTAATGCGGGAAGCCTCCACTCCCTTTATAAAAGAGTGGGTGTTTGTCTTCTCATTGCAGTGACAGTCCTAGTAATAAATCAGTACCAGAAAAGCCTTTGATAAGCCATTTTTAGCAGTTGGAGGAAGGGAAATAATTTTCAAATTCTTTTGGGAGTGAAAAAAGCAAAGCAGCTGAAGGGAGGGCGAAGAGGAGGAAGGGGACATGCATTCATAGAAGGAAGCACAGCCACTTCAGAAAGGTCACTTCCCCTTGCTGTTATTATTAGTGGTACCAAGAAGCACCAGTTGGGGATCAGGCGCGATTGTGCTAGGTGCTGCACACACATGTGGAGGAGAAAAGAAGGGCCCCAAAGAGCTTGCCTTGTGCATCTGTCAGACTCTGCCCCCAGTGTTCCCTGGCTGCTCTCTGATTCCCTGTAAATTTGGGGCACAACTTGCTCCTCTTCATTTAATTCTAGTTAGTGAATCTTGTCTCTGATTCTGCCTCCTGGGATGCTACACGCTTGTACAGACAATGCTTGTTAGTGAGCTAGTTTGGTATGCAGAAGCGGAGCTGGTACGATCAGGCCAATGAAATTACATCCAACTGTACATAACGAGGCTGTATGTTGTTCCATATGCTGCAATTAAAATGACACACAAAGCAATCATGCACAGGCATAATTCCATCAGGGGCTTTGGGTGGCTCTGTAAACCACTGGAACTGAATTCCCTCAGGGCGTGTAGCTGCCTATTTGTTAGGGCTGCTCTGCTTACCTAGCAATACAACCAGCTCCACTCTAATGCAGTTCCTGCACCTGTTTGTGAGCCAGCAGTAATCCCAGTGCTTGGCGCTGCTCTCCCAAGTACCCAACCCAAGCTGGTGTGTGCTGAGACCAGCCGTCTATGGCAGTGGGTGTGAGAAATCACCTCTCCACTTATTCAGGCTCCTCTCATCAGGACTAGGGGAGGACACTTCAGATGCAAACACTGAAACCACCCCAACCTCTAGTTCACCTTGAGAGCGGGCTTCCACAGAACTAGAGGGGCCATCTTTCTACTGGGTCAGAGCAAGAAGGGCAGGCTTTCATGGGCAGGGCTCTGCTAACTACAGTGAGGGATTGTCTTATCGGCACAGGTGGGAGTAAAAGGGCATTTTGTTGGGAATCTGCCCTTAAACTCCACAGCAGAGACTTCGGCCCTGGGTTTACAAGAGCATGAGCAACCCAAGACAAACTTTGAGCAAAGCAGCAACCGCCTCACTTCCCAACCCATCACATATCAGCTGATCACCAGGTCTGTGACCCTACCCCTCATGGGTAGGGAGATTACACCCTCAGCCTCCCACCAGTGAGGGAGGCAGAGTTGGAGCCAAGGCCCTGCCTGCTCCAAGCTGTAAATATCCCCAGGTGCTCAGAATCAGAGTAGGAGTGGGCCCTGGCATCCTCTGTGCCTTTTGGGTCAACTGCCATCTTCCCCTAAGGATCGCTGCATTTTAAAGGTGCTTGTTCACTGACAGGGTTGGGGGATCAGTTGTCTTGGTAAAAATTTCAGGGGGGAGGGGAGATTTTTCAGCCTTCTGCTGAGGAAACATTGAATTAGCCGGTGTAAAGAAATTCTACGAACCAGCAAAACTGCTGCATCAGCCCTCCTGGTGTAATCACTCCTTAACAGAAGAATAGTAATAGAGATGTAGCCGTGTTAGTCTGGGGTAGCTGAAACAAAATACAGGACTATGGAGCACTTTAAAGACTAACAAGATGGTTTATTAGATGATGAGCTTTCGTGGGCCAGACCCACTTCCTCAGATCACATAGTGGAAGATTATCTTACCCATTACAAAGATAGCTTCCCCAATTATCACCTCTAATACCATTAGCCCACAAACATTCCCCCCCCCCATTCCCCCTCTGTTCTGAAATTTGATTTGTCCTTTTTATATGTGTTCACTTTTTTTTTATTGTATCCTTTCGTATATATGGTCATGCCTATTTTCTTCCACTATGTGATCTGAGGAAGTGGGTCTGGCCCATGAAAGCTCATCACCTAATAAACCATCTTGTTAGTCTTTAAAGTGCTACATAGTCCTGTTTTTTATTTCCTTAACAGAAGGTAACTGGTGCCACCCTGTGCCTCCACTAGATGGTGCCCAATCCATAATTTAACAGGGAGGGTTTCTCCAATCTCTGCTGGAGCAGTGCAGCCTTCTCCGGTGGAAACAATGCAGTGCCTGCTCAGATTAAAAACAAGGACTGGATACCTAGGATTGCAGGAGGGAGCGCCCAGGATGGGATGGAGCTGGCTCTGATATCACATCCTTGGACACAAAAGGTTGGGAACGCCACTGGAATTCCAGAGCAGCGCAGACTTTGACTGGGAAGCCTTCCCAGTGGACACTAACTCACTGGAAGTGCTGCCTTCCTGCCTGCCTGTGTGTGGTGGTGGTGAGGGGGGGGGGGGTGTCTGGCATTTGACTCCAATTAAGGTGAAATCTGGAAAGAACAGGCAGGAGAGCAAAAAAGGGGATGTGATGAAGGAGTCAAGGTGTTTCCCAGTTGCTCCATCTTCTGTGGGGAGAGATGGATGGACCGAAGTGCTGCCGTTTGCTACAACTTGCCTCCAAAATGTGAATAAGAAAATCCCACAAGAGAACCTGTTTTGGTTGGGTGCTCTCTGTTAAGATCTGTTTCATCCAAAGCAGACAAACATTCACCAGGATTGCTCCGTTGGAAAAGAAGTAGATTACCTGGAGCAGAAGTGCTGAACCCCCACTCGGTGAAGTTGGATTGGTTTGGGGTGCTTTCCCCACCTCTGTATACAAATTGTCCTAACTATGGGCACTGTATAACTGTGGCGCATGGCTGTGTAGTGTCGTGTTGCTTCCTTTTTATTTCTTGTATAAGTTTGAACAATGATCACAGTCAATCCGGATGGAAAAATAATGATCAGAAGATGTCTTGTCACCTTGAGACCTTTTAGGTAAAGTTCTTTTTATTGCTCTTTTTACCATTCTCCCTTCCCACCCCCAGCCTTTGCATCCCATCTTGTTGTTCAGCTTCAGGGAACTGGAACTGAATAATTCATCTAAGTAAATTTTCTAGCATTCACTGTTTTCCAGAGGAATCAATTTCAGATTAAAATGTCAAGAATCAAAGCAAGTTTGCCTTTAAGTCAGCATCATGGAAGCTAATGTGTGGCTCCTGCATACTATATCTTGCCTGCTTATTCTTTCCTTATGCTAATATCAGTTGAGTATTAGGTACAGGTTTTTAATATCTTTTTTGGTGATATTTGTACCCACAGAGGGATTGATGCAAACAAATGACAAGCCAGCTTTGGCTGTCGGTTACACTGGTTTGAATTCACTGATAATGTAGTTACTCCAGATTCACATGCAGCAGAATCGTGTCCAAAGTCAGATGTTCCAAGCGCCCCTCCTCACCTGAATTTATGCATTTCCACTTACTGATCTTTCACCCTCAACAACTACAAAGGTTTTTTTTTATGATTCCATTGCTATTGATTTGCATAGATTGCTTCCTGTAAGTCTATTTTTTGGACTGTTTATTAACATGCAAACTCTCTCTAATGCTTGTGTTCTTTCTTTAAAACTGATTTGAAGAGTTGTGGTTTATGCACTTTCAACCTTCAAAGGGCATTGTTTGTTTGTGTGTTATGGGCAAAGAATTATGACTATAAAGGTTAGGTCTGAATCAAAGCAAACCCATCTCAGTGCTTTCAAATAGCACAAAAGCATTTGAAGTGGATTTCACAAGCCAGGATGCTGGATCTTTAACTCTGTCAGAGGCAGGTTGGTTGGGGGAATTGAAGGAGGGGTGATGGTATCACTTCTCACATGGAATAGCTTTTGAGAATTGTTGCTGCCAAAATTTCAGCTGTCTGATGAACTTATCTGCCCTCCATTTTATCTGAGCCCCTCACAATCTTTGAATGTAGTTATCCCTTGGACACCCTACGGAGGCACAGGAATATAATTATCCCATTGTACAGATGGGGATCAGAGACAAGAAAGATACCTGGGCTAAATACCTCGCCCAAGGTCAAAGACAAGACCTGAACACTCTCACTCCTACATAGTGCCCCAGTCTCCTGGACCAGCCATGCACACAGGTGGGGCAGGTTGCTCTGCTAGGTGAAGTGGGAGTGGGTTAGCAAAGGGATGGTACTGTCCCATCTACTCAGCAGGGATTTTATCTCCAATCTAAAGTTTGGGAGGTACCAAATGGGCAGGAGGGGCATGCCGGTGGGGTAGGTGCCTTTGGGTAGCAGAGTTTGCCTTCTGGAAGGAGGGTAGAAGAGATGGGAAAGGTGCCTGATCACACATGTTGAAGAGGAGATGGGAGCAATTCGTCACTCTGCTGCTTGCAGGCTATTCCTGTTCTCTGGTGTCCAGGGCCAAACTCTGATTGACTTAAAAGATGCAACTTTGAGCCCTGTGGATAGCGCAGAGGTGGATCAGGGCACAGGCTGAAGGAGCAGGGGGCATCCAAAGGGGGACAGCTACTCTGCAGCAATTCACCAGCTGTGCCAGTTATGTCACACACTATACATAGCCGTCACCTAGAGCTGTCACTTTCTCTCCTGTTGAATGACACTCTGCCTAATAGAACAACAGTGCCCAAGGTGCAGTGCTAGGCTTGGCGGCTGCCATCAGTGAGGGATCAGTGAGCTCTGCTTTGAGAGGTTCTGTTCATTCACCTTTGTAAATGTTTGTTAAACACCAAGATGAAGTCATTGGAAGAGCTCCCCTATTGGAAGAGATTACTCCAGGAGCAGGGAAATCTCATTTCTAGCAGCATCCTGGGAATAAGGCTTGAAAGTGGAGTAACAGCAATGAGTCATAGCCTGGCAAAGTCTGATTAAAGTAAGGCCTGAGACTGTAATAGGAGGGTAAGTTTCAGAGGGGTAGCTGAATTAGTCTGTAACTAGAAAAACTTAAAAAAACCCAATGAATGGTCTTTCAGCACCTTAAAGACTAACAAAACATGTAGATGGTATCATGAGCATTCAGGGGTACAACCCACTTCTTCAGATGAATGGAGTATTAAAAGCCCAGTTCCAAAATAAATAGAGGATGGGATGAGGGGAGAAAGAAGGGGAAAATAGTGAATTAGAATGTTCATGTTACATGAAGCTGATAGAGAAGGTGCAAATTGTTCTTAAGTACCCATTGTTTAGTTGGTTAAGTCATTAGGATGTGGAAGGTAGTGTGCTAGCCAGATGATGTCTTTATTCATGCCTTTGTGATGGGTCCCAAACTTGTAAATGAAATTAATTTCCAAAGCTTCCCTGTGTATTTGGCTTGCAGAATTGGCCTGAACACAACATGGTGATTTTGAGTTTTGAAGGGACATGAAGTGAACCTTGTAGGTGGCTTGTGTTTTAGGAGGGGAAGTGCATGTGGGGATTTGAGGATGGGTCCAAGTGATCGGTTTGGGGGCTTGGTCTTAGTCAGATAGCAGGATGGTGTTCTCAGTATACTAGGACCTGATTCTGCTCTTATGATGGTGTAAATGTGGAGCAACTGTATTGAAATCAATAGGGTTAAATGGCTGTTAAACCAGCATGAAACCCCAATCCGGCTTTTCTAAGAGATGTTTCCCTTGAGATTGTATATCACAGGAAATGAGATGTGATTGAGTGAGGCTACAAACTTTCAAAGGTGTTTTCCCAAATCATTTAGACAAACTGGGGGCAGGGATTCTCCCTGGTTTAACTCATTAGTAATGGTGCTTGGGGGGATGTTTTGAAGCATTGGAATTGTAAGGCTATTGACGCTACTGTGCTGGCTTCCCTCACCCGCTCAGTCCTGACCTGCCGTACTCGCTCCTCTTCCAGGCCTATGTCCTACCCACCAGCTCTGTGGGTGCCCTTCAGACCCTGCTAGTCTAGTCACTGAGCACTCCACAGATCAGTAAAGGTGTTTTCTCCTATTCTAGGTGGTTTCTCCCAACCTCCACCAACTTACCAGCCCAGTGTAGGCCTGACCTGTGGCACCCTCCATTGTTTGAACTCTGCCCTGACAGACCCTGACCTGTGTTTTTATGTTGTAGCCATGTGGTGAGACTATTGTATGCTCTTAGGTCTTGTCTTCACTGCAGTGTGCTTCCTGCCTCCTTTCCCCTCACCCAGGAGTCCCTTGTTTTAGCTTGTGGTACTTTACTTCAAGCTCCTGGGGCTGTGGGTTGACCCTTGAGAGCTGTTGATGTTCACACTAGGAATTGCAGTGGACATACCGATATTGTGCTGCTAATCCAATTGCTTGGTGCAGCTCATGTGTTATTTTGTGGTGTGGCTGCTCTCACTTGAGCTAGGCTAACTCAAGTGCAGCTGTCTGCACTTTTCCGCATGTAAGTTAATGCTGCAGTGAAGGCAATTCCTTGGAATCTAGACCCTCCTTTGCTTTGTATAGTAATATGGCTACTATGTAGTCTATAGTAAGTGGTCACCTAAATCTACTGAGACCTTGTCTACTGGTCTTTAATCAGCTGCTTCTCTTCACTGATGCCAGTGGGCTGGATCCACAGTTGGTGCAAATCAGCATAGCATCACTGAAGCTGCCAGACACTAGCTGGTGTTTTGGCCCATTGAAATTGGAGTGGTGCTTAGCCGACTTCATTAATCAT